AGGTTGGTAGGACACCTTCTCAGGCATGAAGGTCTAGTCAGAGACATACTAGAGGCAGAAGCAGGAGTTAAGAGGGGTAGAGGTAGACATATATTAGATTACTGTTCGCAAATAGTTAAGGATGTGGGTTGTTCTAGTTTTAGGGAAATGCGAAGATTAGCTCAGGATAGGAAGAAGTGGAGGTGCGTGTCCAACCAGTCTTAGGACTGACGACCATATGATGATAATGATTATTCGTAAAAAAGTATCATCCTGTACACGGTGAACTGTTTCAACTGAAGACAGTCCTTATGGGAGTCCAGAACGCCGGGATGATACATCTGAGACACGACAAAGGATGCGATGCCAATTATGATGTGAACCTTTTTATCCCCAGCGGGGATCTACGCGAGCGTAAGCGCGCTTATTTTCTGGTCCGCGAAATAAATTTTCCAGAGCCATTTGCTGTTTCCATCTTTTTCCGTTTTTCCGAGTTTCTTTGCGCGCAGCAAGGCAGCCAACGATCATTAGGGCCGATGTAACAATGCACTCTCTGGTATAAGTTCTGAAACGCTGAACCGGAAATGATGAACGCGCTTATTGGAAGGATTTATTTTTAAATCCCAGAACCGTTCAATTTTTCGGTTTTCTTTATTGTTACAAAAACGATAACTTTACTCTGAGCTCATATCTTTTTGATATTACGGATTAAAAATAGAAAAAGGACGCACTCCGGCAAAATGTTTTTCTGCAGTGATGCATGTTTCATTCCGATAAAAAATATTCTTTTTAGACAGTGGACGGGTAAACATAGACGTAACTCTTTACTAAATGCAGCTCTTTGTAGTGAAATCACAAACAGTATTTTCTCAAAATGTTGGTTTTTTGAATAAACGAATGAAACTGAGACTTTATTTACAAATGAATTATTAACTATGAAATAACGGATTACAACCACAGGAACAATGAGAAAAATATGAATTAACAACGCAAATTAACAAGAAGAAGGACAAAAAGGAACTAACTTTAAATTATGTGGCAAAATCAAAAGTAGTTCTAATTAACAAAGGTGGTTGCCGTCGAAGATTTTAGCAGAACCTGACCATTGGGACCAAATCGGCCTATTATTGTTTGCAAAAGAACATTCAAGAGATGCATTTGAAATTTCCAATATAACAAAATAAACTAGGTTGAATAATGATAAGCAAATCTATCTGTAACGACAAAAAAAATACTAAAATTAAATTGAAACAATATTTGTAGCGCCCTTTTTTCTCCGATGGAAATGTGGTGTTACAGATGATTGGTGAGGATAATAATGGTCGCTGCTATTCGGAATGGAAGGAACGGTAGATATATAAAATAGAGGATAGTGTAGGATGAGTCGCCTTTAACAAAAAGAAGTCACTTTTACATTCGCGAACGGTTAATTCAGAAATTCGAAAAAGATTGTTAAAGGTGCATGGCTCTGTAAGAAGGTGAAATGTGGACGCGACGGAAAAGAAAATATTAGAAGCGTTCGAAATGAGGTGTTACACATGCGAACTATAAGGATACCGTAGATAGAGAAGGTTAGAAATAAGGGATTTGTGGAAAAAGTACGAGAACAGAAGGAGCTATGGAAACCAATAAGGAATAGACGAGATAGTGAGGCATGAAGGGTTAATTAGAGATATTAGACGTAGAAACAGGAGCTAGGAGGAGCAGAGGCAGATTTAAATTAAATTACTGTTCATAAATAGGTAACAATGTAGATTTAGAAGATGATCTCAAGATTAGTGGAGGTGCGTGTCCAACCATCAGTTAAACTGACAACTCATAATGATGACAAAAATATAGTAATGCCTGGATAATCCCAATCCTCTATAACCTGAACAGCTTATAATAATTGTGTAAAAATATACTCAAAATTAGAACTCCTTTCTCCTGTAATCCGAAGTTTCAATTCAATCATGCACGATGTCTGCTGGCGGCACTGTAGACGAGCAGTCACTGAAATTTTTACAACATTAGGTATATTTTTATTGATTTACTTAGCAGTATTGAAGAGGTATCTATAATCCGTCCATGGTTTCATAATAATATAATAAACAGCATTATTTTAAATTCCAAAGTCCTAATTAATGTTTAAGTAACGTTCTTAATCCAGGTGCTACTTTCTATAATACAGTAGTCTATTAAATGAAACTTCTATACATGCACATATGTATTTTGATAATTATATAAACAATAATAAGTGGAGATAAGAAGTTACATGTCATTTCGAATTTGACGTACGTATGTGCTAATTTTTAAAACCTTAGGGTGATAGCAATAGGATACGTAGATACATATTTACATATTTCTAAAGAGTGTTAAATTGCAACACTAATTGCAACATTAACCTTCGTTGTTAAATATCCCAGACGCACACGACCTATTACTGCGTGATTAGATAAAAACATAAGTGAAAAACAAAATACTGTATGGAAACATGCATTTTTTTAACGAAAAATCAAAATATTTGATCTTTAATAACTTAAAAGTACTGATTTATTTTAATAACTTTATATAACAAATTTTGCTTAGAATTGGTCTCTCTATCGATTCTTGGGGTTATTTTTCAAAAAATAGTTCCCACCCCCAGAAATAGTGGCATCCACCACCTGGGTAAAAGCGCAACTTGGGACTATATCACTTTTGTTTCTTGAGTATCCTCTACCTACTCACCAATTTTCATGAAAATCGATGGAGGTTCAACGAAATCGGAGGTAAAAACCTTCAGTGACTGTACTATATGAAGATTAAAATTTGACAATTGTTATAAACAACAAAGTTTTAATATTTTTTTTAGTCGTTAGAGATAGATTTGCTTCAACCTATTTTATTTTATTTTCGAAATGTGGTGTTATAGGCGAATGATGAGGATAACGTGGGTAGAAAAGGTTAGAAATGAAGAGGTATTAGAAAGAATAGGAGAACAGAGGTCATTAAGAAATAGGCGAGATCAGTTGGTAGGACACCTTCTCAGGCATGAAGGTCAAGTCAAAGACATATTAGAGGCAGAAACAGGAGTTAGGAGGGGTAGAGGTGGACCTAGGTTAGAGTACTGTTCACAAATAGTTAAGGATGTGGGTTATTCTAGTTTTAGGGAAATGCGAAGTTTAGCTCATGATAGGAAAGAGTGGACTTACGTGTCCAACTAGTCTTAGGACTGACGACCCTATGATGATGATGATTGGAAATTCCATTATTTCAAATGCATACAAGGTAGTGAAATATCTCTTGAATGTTCTTTTGTAGACAGTAATAGGCCGATTTGGTCCCAATGGTCAGGGTCTACGAAGTACTTCGACGGCAGTCACCTTTGTTAATTTTATTATCGATGCTCTTCAGATGTATGTAGGTTACAGGAATTCCATAGCTCGAGGTGGAGTCATACCTTATTGGTTTTTTTTTCCCTTATTGGCTTCTGGCTCGTATTCTTTTGCAACATACCAAGTATTGGTGGTGGCACCAGAACAATTTTTAATTTTACCACATAATTTAGAGTTAGTTACGTTCTGTTCTTCTTCTTGTTAACTTGCGTTTTTAATTCACATTTTATTTTCGTTGCGCCTGTAGTTGTAATCCATTATTTCATAGTTAATAATTCATTTGTAAGTAAAGTATGTATATAGTGTTTTATATCGAGTTTGATTCGCTCCGTTAAAAACAACATTTTGAAATAATACTGCACCTGATTTCACTGCAAACATTGATCCGGCTCGAAGGACCGTCAGAGTCATACCTTGTTAGGTTTTTCCCCTTATTGGCTTCTGGCTCATATTCTTTTGTTGCATACTAGGTGTTGGTAGTGGCACCAGAACAATTTTTGATTTTATCACATAATTTAGAGTTAGTTACGTTCTGTCCTTCTTCTTGTTAACTTGCGTTTTTAATTCACATTTCTTTTTCGTTGTGCCTTTAGGTGTAATCCATTATTTCATAGTTAATAATTCATTTGTAAGTAAAGTCTGTATATAGTGTTTTATATCGAGTTTCATTCGTTCCGTTAAAACCACCACTTTGAGAAAATACTGCTCATGATTTCACGACAAACAACCGTGTTTCCCCGAAAGTACAACCTACTCCGAAACTAAGCCCTACCAGGATTTTAAAGGATAAAACCTCATCCCGAACATAAGACCTATTGAAAAAAGCATCGCATTGACGTTTTATGGAGGTACCCGAGAGGCTCCAGGACTCGTTAGCATATTTAGCATCCAACATGAGCCATTTATTGTTTTTGTTCGAATTTGTGAGAAATTAGCGTCTATTCAGTCTTTACAATCGTTGTTAATATTAGAGATGCACCGGACAATGATTTTGTAAAATCTAAAAACTACTACGGTTAATGTGAAATTCCATCCAATCCATAGTTTGTACATCATTCGAGAAGTTCAAATAGTTTAGAACTTAGAACAGCATAAACATTTAACGATGCAAGTTGCAAGGACATTAACAGTGGATTTCGGATATAATGACGACGAAGGGACCGCCACAATTTCGTAGTTATATACGGAAGTCGTTACAAGCAAAGGTAAAGAGATACAGACGCGTATGCATAGTTTTCACCATTTTCCAATTAAGGATACGATTTCCGTTTTTATTTTAACAGTAACTGTGCTTCTAGGAGTCATACTTATTCAACTAGGGATTTGTTACAAATGATTAATTAAAAACAGTCGCTGCACCTGAACTCGGCGTTACATCCGTAAGTATGTTTTAAATTCAAGAGACTTAGATTTAGCGTCGCAGGGTCGTAATATGTGAAATCCACTGTATGTGAAGAAAATACACATTGTACCACGTAGTAGTTTCCTCAGGTGGAATAAGAAGTAGGTATATTATAAATATTTTTGTAACTTATTTACTTTTCGTCATCACTGTGCAATTACAATAATTGAAAGCTTCTTCAATTCAATGCATCAAGTTTTATGTTGTTGCGTTTGAACTGAAATATTAACGACAACAAAGTCAAAGTGAAATAAAAAGCATACCTTCGATATGAGTTCGTCGTGATTGGCTAAATGAGCCCTGCAATGGATGCAGGAGTATGTGCGATGACATTGTGGCAAATAGGCCTGGAACGTCTTCACCATGGTGCTGGCCTCGACGGCAGGCCATGCGTAGACGTCAAACCTGGAACGAAAAAATGTATCTTTGTAGTTATAGTGACTTTCGTGATATTGTTAATTTTCACCAACAATTATTAGGTATGTCATTTCAGAGATATTCCGATTTCAATTCCAAACATTCGTTCGACTAGGAAGAGAAATTTTAGTTGCCTTTGATTCCTGTACTTAATTTCCACTAATACACTTTTAATGAACCAACATAACTAATTATTTATTTAATGACCTGCTGGCAGCAATGAATTTCATTAAGTACGAGGGTGGATTGATAAGTTTCCGGCCTGACCAAGAAAAACAAGGTTTTTAAAAATTTTTTTTTTTTATTTCTCAACATAATCTCCTCCAAGGCTGATACATTTCTCATAGCGGTGTTCCAGTCTATTAATGCCATCTCTATAGACTGATTCGTCAAGCTCCTCAAAATAACCATTTACAGCTTCGATTACTTCTTCATTGTCCGCAAATCTCT